GGGATACTGCAGGACCAACTGGTCTTTTGTGGCCGTGTGATTCACCAAGGGATAAGGCTTTTGCAGCTGGAATTAATTTTCTTCTACCCAAAACCTTAGTTCTTTAAGGCCTTTAAAAACATCTTTCAGTTAAATTAGGTAGAAATAGAATTAAGAATGAATTCAAGATGTTAAATTAAAAAAACCCCAGCCCCTCCAAAATGCCCCACGCTGACTGATCCAGCCTCTGTTGCAAACAAACGTGATTTCATCTATCAAGAAAACATGACACACACAGCACAAGGAATAAAGTCAAGTCAAAAGTAGTCTTCACCCTCTAACTCACATGCCTTGTTTTCCTCAATTTGCTGCTTGTTCAGAATTTCCAGATCTCGTGATCTGGTCTTTCCCATTCAGTATTATAAGCTGAGAAGAGCAGTAAGAAATAAGCAACAGGAATTCCAGATTGAAATGATGATGCTGTTGAGGAATGCGTTATTTCTTCATAATGCCTCAGTTTTCTGGTAATGTAATGATTTCATCGTCTGGATTGCTCAGTCTTTGTCATTTAGTGGGAGCTGAGGACTGTATGATTGACATACTTGGGGTTTGTTTCTCAGTTTGATACCAATTTCAGGAAAAATATACTGTAGCCTTTCCAGCAAATAAGGCCAATTGTTCATAATTAAGAAAAGTAGATAACCTACCTGACACTTGCATGACTGTAGCGTTTCTATCTGTTTCCAACAGTTAACATTGGAAGAAGCTAAGTGTGTGTAAAAAGCTTTTCCATGTAAGATATTTATTAGGTACCATCACTTTAGGTAAACAAGCAGAGAAAATGGCGTATTTTGTTAGTTGTGGATAGATGATGTTTGAGACTATTTTCACAGAAAGGACCTGGTCCTGCAAATACTTAGTGTAACACAGAATGCTGGTAATAATCAAGTGAATATTTGCCTATGTTGGCACACTGAGGCCTGTCGTTAAAGGAGAAAAGAATTAGTATTATGAATATGTGTAAATGAACAAAGGGGTCATTTCTCATTTGTTTTTAAAACAGTGTCTTGTAGTGGCACAGTTCACTTTCTTTTGAAACAGAAACACTGGCCAGTGATGATAGACTGCGTGGCTAGTCAGTTATGTGTGGATAACTTCTTTGTGAACAGTGGTGAATTGGGAGGGGAACAGAAATTGCACAGACTTATTAAAGGAAAAGCTTTTCTGGGTTATTGGCTGAGTAGTAAGCACTCCAGGCCTTGCATATTTTGGAGCCCAGATCCTTGAAAGTATTGGACACCAAACTTGCTGAAATCAGAATTATTTTGGATATTTGTCAATGACCTTTAAAGATGCAGCAGTGATTAGTAATGGGGTGTTCAACCAGAAATAGTATTGCCTTAGGATCTGACCCCATTAAGGTCTAACTCAGCTTAAAAGGTAGCTCAGCAGTGAAGATGATTTGTTTTCTGAGCTTTTTTTTTTTTAAACTTTGCTGGTTAGTGGTTGCAGTGCTTTAATTAAAAATTGGGCTGCCCTTCAAAAAAAGCCATCTGGCTCCAAATTTGCTGTTTGAGCGTAGCAGGATTAGTAAATCATAAGAAATGCAAACTTGCTAGTGATGTTCCTTTTTACAAAAAAAAGCTTGAGGGAGACTTTATCTGTGTTCAGAAAAGGATTGTGGCAAGAATTTTCATGAATTCTCTTAAAATGACAGGTCTGCTTGTTGTGTTTCTTCGGACTCTTCGTGAAAGCGTTGAGTGTTGGCATACATGTTCCACCAGTGGGTCCAGGCAGAGGATGCCACTGGGTAGTTGTTTTCTCCAAATAATAATTCCGGTTGTGTCATGTGTGCATTGGAAGAAGGCAGTTCCTGCAGCATCCTTAGTGGGAGAACATAGGGGAGTAGTTTGAAGTAAACTATAATAATTTTCTGACATACATGGGACTGTATGTCTGTTCACTTAGTGTCTTTTGTTGGTACTGTAAGTTTGCAATAGTAATTCCTTGTCTTGCACCAGTTCAGATGACATTTATGGTGTTTTTTTTTTCTCACAGAAATACCTCCACTAAAATGTGACTAGCTAAGGTTTGTTCTTACTGCAGAGCCACATAATAGTTTAGTACAAATAAGGATTTTTTGCGAGATCTGATGGACGCTGCAGTTAGTTAAATGTTCTGTCTCTTGTGGTGAGCAGCCGTGAGAAATGGGGCAAGCATGGAAGTGTTCCTTTCTTTGACAGGTAAAGTGAATTAAAAAATGGTTTGCAAATTTGTCTTTTGTTTAGGAGTAGGGGAGAGTGAAACAAGAAATATTCTATGTGTGGTTAAAAAAAAAAAGTCCATTTCAAACAACAAGCTTCAAAGATTAATTTTGTTTAAACAAAACTGATCTTAACAGAGATTTTCAGGATACTCTTTTACTTGTAAAGTAAATAATTAAGATGCCTGTATAAACTCAGCAAAAACTGTTCAAAGGGAGTGGAAAACCCTGTAAGAGAAGGAAGACTCTGTATGTGAAGGAAGTATGTGCAAAGTAACAGGCAGAGTGGAGCAGCAGGGTACTGAGTAATTCTTGGGAAAAGTGGACTGAGAAACTTGTACTGCTTTGCTGTCCTGTTTTACATTGAAGGACCATAACTGCTAACTGACCCAACGCGTAACAGTGACATGAGTTGTAAACTGAGAATGCATATTTGCTGCTCAGCAGAGAACAAGTGCAATTGGGAATTTAAAGGCAACAACAAGGAGCAACTCCAATAAAATCAGTTAATGGTTTTCTAAAGACTATTGGGGAGAGGATAATGGGACACACTGTAAAAAAGGCTTACTAAGTTGAACTAGTCATGGGCAGAAGGTAATTGTAAGTATAGCTTTGATTGACTCCACGTGAATTGTCTCATTAGCTATGTTGTGGTAGCAAAGCAAACCACTTAAGTACTACATCCTGTGTTAGTGGAAGCCCTTTGAATTCTTGGTGGTTTTCTGCTGGAGCACAGTAAAACACTGCTTTAACAAGGCTTGTGTGCAAAGCTATCTAAAGGGAATGTAGGCTCTCAAATTTACCAGAAATGAAGACTTGCCACTGGATAAAACTCCAAAGGAAATACTTTTGTGCTAGAAATAGAAGGGGAGGCATTTATTTTTTGCAAAAAAGTGACTGGAATCTGTAGACTTAAAGCCTGCTGCTGTGGTCGTTCCAAAACTGACAGTGATGGCTGTGTGGATGTTGTTTCTCAGTGTCTGGTTCTTGGATAGTTTCTGGGAAACCTCATAGATGCTTCTAAACTGTTCTTTTCCTGTGTCTTTTTATGAGGGAAATGTTTTCCTCCAGTTTCCTGTGAGCAAGCAAGAATAAATATACGAAACTAATTTCTATTTCAGTTAGAAATATCTTGCTTATAAATCTTTCTTAGCAACTGAGAAAAGTAAACCTGCAGTGTCCTCTTGTATCGCTGTTTTGTTTATTTCACTACTTGATTTATGAATGTTTACTTGATTTATGTATCTTGTCTTCTTGTGTGTGGTTGTATATGTGAGAGGAACTGGAGCAGCAGCTCCAGGAACAACTGTCTGTTTTCTGATTAACTTCTTTCCACAATGCTTTGGAGTCATTTGCTGTAGGCTGTTGCGGATGTTAAAGCTCATACGGGTACAAAAAGCCAAATCATAAAATAAAAAGTCATCTCTGATTGCTAAAAACTAAAATGGCAGATTGCTGAGCCGGAGAGAGCACCCTGGGGAAGCATCACTTCGTTTGCTGTATTGCTTTTGCTCTGTCTTGTAATTAGCTGCATGGCCAAAATACGATGGTAAATGGATCTTCAGTTTGACTAGACCCAAAGTGTTCTGATATCAAAAATGAAGACAAATCTGTGCTACCTGCTTTATGCAGCACTTACTGTACTTTGTAAGGAAATCTGTGCTGTTTGTTGCTCTTCATTCTTCTGGAGCTATGGCCTGCACGGGTACCCTCTTCAGTTGTGATAAACAGAACAGGAAGCTATTTGAATTTAAGTTTTCTTTAAAGAGTAAACACAGTCATTTGCCCAAGTAATGAGGCTTTTTCATTGATAATGCCATCAAGCACTTTGGGACAAGGTAGGAGAAAGACCGGCTAAAAGGTAAGTGTGCTTACAAGCCGAAGGACTTTGAGTGTCTCTTCACAAGTGTTAACTTTTTGTTCCTTAATGCACCCGTGTTATTAGTGTCAGGTGCTTGCTCTAGATTGGTGGCTGAGTATGTATGTTGGAATAAAAATGACTTTTCCAAGTGAGTGCCTGCAATGTTAGTTACCATCACTTAGTCTTTTGTTCGTATTTGTAGATTGTTGTTTGACATGCTTTGAAATGACTCTTGCAGCTGTGATTCTTACTGAAGCTTAAAGATGTATTTTGATTCTTGCTTGCATATTACCTATTCATGGTAATGGCTGTAGGCTTGTAGACTAAATATTCATGTTGGAGGTTTTCTGTTTTAAATATGACCTTTCTGTAGAAGTTGGTTAGCTCATGGGATCATCAAGTAATACGATATGTAGGTTTAGTCATTAAAAAAGGAGGCATTACAATGCATTATTTGTTGATTTCTGCTGGTAATAAAGCAAATTAAAAAAAGAAAACGGGTATCTTCCTGAGTGTATTTGGGACCTTTTTTTCATAATACAGATTTGTAGTAATGTATTTAAACAGTGCTTTCTGTGTAAAATACACGGTGCTGATGCTGCATTTTCTGATATTTGAGTGTAAAACTGGAGAAGAAAAATGCATGTGACTTGTTCTAATGGAAAATGGATTTGATGTGAAAGTGAGGGATGCATATGTATGCACAAGGTGCACCTAGTACATTGGTGGTTATTTTTATTAAATCATATTGGGTTTGGGTGATGATACCTTGCTGGTCTGCTAATTATCTGGGGCTTTTTTATTACACTTGGAATTATTGTATTCATATACCAAGTAGATGCAGTGGTCTCCCCAGCGCTCTGGTTCTTTGTGTCATAGGCTGCAACTCGTCAGGATATGACATACTGGCTTCAGGAACTTCAACAGAAGAGGTGGGAATATTGTAACAACCTTGACGCAGCAAAAAGGGACAGCCGAACTTCCCCTACGCCAAGTGACTTTTCCAAAGGTCTTGTTGCCAAAGACAACCCTGGTAGGTTGAAAATTTGAGTAAAAAGTGAAAACCAGAATGCATGCTTCTATTCAGTGTGAGTTGATCAGTACAATGCGTAACACTGGGGTAGAGAACAGTCTTAGGTTTTTTTCGCATCTTGTTATCAAGTAACTCTGTGTAAACTTTGCATGTGTTGATGATGCTAAAATTATTTAACATAAATGTAATTTTATGTGTGATTTCATATGTCTTACAAAACCTGTTGATTTCTTTAAAAACAATTTTTTAAAATCAAGTAAAATGGAGTAGTCCTATGACTAGGTTTCATTCAGTGGCAAAGTACAGTTTAGGTTAGATAAGTTGTCTTGCAGTTATTGCAATATCCTAAAAGCTTAGTTTATTCACTATTCTGAGATGTAAACTCCAGTTTTTAATGGGAACAGGTATATTTTGCGTTCTGAATGACTGTATTTTGTTCTCAAAAAAAAGTGTGGTAGATCTGACTGAAAAATTCACTGCCTTTTACAACTGGAAGACAGTTTGCACTGATACTACATAAGTGAGATTCGGTTTCCAGAATACCTTTAGCCAAGCGAAATGTAATTTTAGACTAGTGTCAGATGTATAAAAATTTATCAGTGTGTTATACAAAGTTATTCTGTGGGGTTTTGACTACATTGCTCAGACACTTCTGAATTGTTTTATTCCTGAATCATTACAGAAATGGATTGCTTGCTGATTTTTGTTATCCATAAATAAGAGCAAGTAAAATCCTGTTCTGTGCCAAGTGAGACATGTTAGTAGAGCTCTCTCGGCTTTAAACAGAGTCATGAGATCAGACATATTCATCAACAGATTTTATATTTTGTTGATTTCAATTTACTCATACTGTAAACCCAGAAGTGTTAAACTGTCTTCTTCCCTGCCCTTGTCTCCCCTCCCCCAGTTCAGATCCCATGTTGCAGTATTGTCCTCTAACCCAGTTTACTGCTTTCATGTGAGAGCAGTCTGCTTGTGGCTGCTTGCTCAACCACAGCTGGCTTGAGAGTATCTCTTTTCATAGGGGCTCAGCTTGAAGTTTCAGCTACACCAATCTAACAGCTAGTTAGAAATGCCTGGCTTTCTCCCTTGATCTAGCACTGGTGCTCATCGAGCCCTTCCTTGTGCTAGTGCAGGGAGTGCAGCTAGCAGGAAACATCCTTTTCTCCAGGTCAGTTTTTGGCCAGCATAGCGTTCTGAAGTGGTTTACTGTGGGGACAGATGAGTGCCAGGATTAGCCCAAGAGAATTGTTGGGAGTGTAAAGTGGGATGGTTTGAGACCACCTTTCTGGCAGGAGACAGTCTGATAAGCAGCTTGTCAAACCATACGCTGCAGGCACATACGCGGTTTTTGGTGCGCAGAGATCTAACAGCTTGCAGGTGTCGGAAAGGGTAACAGGCTTTTGCTCTTTCAAACCTTTGCCTTTCGACCTTCTGCCTCTCGTTCTTTGCTACCTAGTCTCCCTTTTTGTATTTTGTGGTGTTTGTCTGACCCTGTGCTGAGTTGGTTGAGTTCAGAAGTTAGACAAAAAGGAGGGGTTTTTTCCCTGCTAGATTAATGAGTGGAATACACTTACTGTGGAATCAGGTGACTTCCAGAGCTGATGGAAAGGAGTGGACAAATGGCTAAATACAGGAAGGCAGAGTAAAGGAGGAGGCAGGACTGCCCTTTTTGGACAGGAGACGGTTGTATCAGATCAACTATAATATGTAACTTGGCCCCCAAATCTCTGTTCTCTTTTGCTACTTCCCTCAGAGCTTGAGCACAACGGGAAACTTAGCTGCTGTCACTGCAGTCCGTGTATCCCTCACTCCTGTTTCCTCTCGGATCTAGCAATCCTAATCCAGTCACTTGAGATCACTGATCCGATACTTTACTTTCCTGCTGCTTGTT